GGTTCATGGTTTAGGGTTTAGGGTTCAGGGTTTAGGGTTTAGGGTTCAGGGTTTAGGGTTCAGGGTTTAGGTTTCATGAGGGTTTAGGGTTTAGAGGTTTAGGGTTTAGGGTTTAGTGGTTTAGGGTTTTATGTGCCCATATAGTGTATGCCTTGGCCTTAAAGTTTTCCATGTACAGGTACTTTAGGGCCAATGTATCTCGTATATGGGCACATGGACCCGTAGAGTTTGTTAAGCCTGTCAAGGGCTTACGTAGGAGGGCTTTATTTATGTGGTTGGTGGTTGTTCATAAGACGTTTTAGAAGGGTGATTATTTAAGGCTACTTAACGGAACCCTATCAGACCTGCCTTCTTAAGGCTCCTTGCTATGAATTTCTTGAGACAAGTCCTTAAATCGGTAGGTTATTTGGGGTTACGGTATAGGCCTCAGGTATGCCAAGCCGGCACCTGAGCTTGAAACCTGGCTTAGTTCGATTCGAGGCCCTGAATGAAAAAGCCGGGGCCTTAAACACAAACACGGTCTAGGGTTTAGGGCTCACGGGTTGAGGGTTTAATACAGAAGCCTACATAATTACCAATATGAGTCCTTATGGTTCCCCATTATAACTAGACTATAAAGGGGCCCAAAACCCTATTCTAATTGTTTAGGGCTCTACATTAGGGATTTAAGGGGTTCAAGAACCAGGGGTCTGCAGTTATTTTTTTCGCCCGGATCCAACACAAAAGCTCAGGGGCTTACCAGGTGTAGGGCTTTGGGTTTAGGGTTTAGAGGGGCCCAGATCTTGAGTTTAGGGTTTAGGGTTAAGGGTGGCCAGATTTTGAGTATATGGTTTAGGGCTTCGCATCCCTCAAAACGGAAACCATGGGACAGCTTGAACTTTACCGCATCATCCTTTCATAAGCCACTTCAAACCTTAACCCGAATGACCTTAGACCCAAATCCCATACAGCCCTAAGCCATAAACCCATATAGCCCTATACCAAAAGCCCTTTTTACAACCCTTGGATAAGGCTTATTTGTTTCAGGGGGTCTGAGCAGCAGCTCAGGTGAGAGATCTGCACCCTGGATGGCAACATGGGGGCTCTGCAAGGGCTTTCGGTTTTCCCTGTAAGGGTTGTTTGGATTTTAGGGCTTTTAGGGCTGTTAGGGTGTGCCGGTCTTGGGGCTTAGGATTGGATTTTAGGGCTTTTAGGGCTGTTAGGGTGTGGAGGTTTTGGGGCTTAGGATTGGATTTTAGGGCTTTTAGGGCTTTTAGGGTGTGGGGGTTTGGGGGCTTAGGGTTCTATACTGTTCCAGTCGTTCCACTCGCGCCACTCGCTCCGCTCCGTGGAATGACCTCCCGAGCGAGGGTGTTCGAACTCGAAGGTTTGAGAGTTTGACAGCCTCGAAAATTGAAGTTTGAAAGTGAGCTCGACAGTTTGGTCACCGTGGTGCGCGCAAGCAAGCAGGCACGAGACTTCGAACTTTTCAATCTCGAAAGCTTCAAGCTTTGAAGCTCTCGCTCCTTCGAACTTGCGACCTCGACTGGTTGCTTCGTCAAACTTCAATTTTTTACCGCGGCCGAGTCCGATCAGCTCTCAAAGTTCTTCGAAAGTTTCACAGATTGCAAGTTCGAAAGTTTCACTGCTTGAAAGCTCGAAACTTCGAGAGATTGAAAGTTCGAAAGTTTGAAGTTCGAAAGTTTGCAAGTTTCGAGAGTTTGTGAGTTCGAAGCTTTGAAAGCATGAATTGTTTGAAGGTCTTAACTGCGCCGAGTTCGAAATTACGAGGGTCCACCGAGTTTCGAGTTCGAAAGTTTGAGAGTTCGATGGTTTGAGTTTGGAAAGTTGGAAACGCCCAGCATGTGGCAGCATGTATGAACTTGTCACAAGCGGCTTGCACTAGCTTATGCTCTCAGTCACGGTTTTGCGTGTTTGTGCTTGTTTGTTTTGCACTGATTTATTCAGTCTGGCTGGATGCCTTGGAGACGTGACGCTTCCGCAGTTGTTTGCTTTACAGTGTTTTGTATGCGGTGTATGCACCCCTAGGCCCCAGAAACAAAGAAACAAAGACAGAAAGTCATACACGAATGTATCAGTTAGTAAATACTAAACTGACTTGTCTTCCGCAAGCAAATAAGTGTTTCTATGATTTCTTCAAGGGGTTCCCTTTTTTACCTTTCTCAGATACTTATTTAGGTGTTTATAGTAAATACCACCAATACTTTTCATAATTCAAGGGGGCCAGGATGGTAGAAGGTTTGTTTGACTATGTACCCATAGGCCCCATAGTAGTTCCTTTGTGGGATTACCTTATAGGATTCTAAATATGAACCCCAAAAGAAACTACTATCTACAAGACCTCAAACTTTACACCCTACATGAAGGCTTCAACAGGGGGGCTCCTACATTCAGGAGCAGAAAACTCCCAGATGTTGCTTAATTTGTGCTTCTGATTTGTGGGGCTAGATTCAGTGTAGATAAACCCAGCCAGCTGAAACCCTACATACCTATTGGCAGCTCCTATGACCGGAATAAACAGAAACCATGACATTTACGCAACCTGAGAGGGTACGTATGGGGGTTTCCGAAAATAGGGGACCCTAATATAGTACCCTAAATAATAGGATCCCTATTATAAGGACCCCCAAATAAGGTACCCTAGTATAGCAGAAAGTGCCACCCAAGACGCGGCTTAATCGTAGCCCCAGCATCAGTCTCGTGCAGTGACCAAGGCCTCTTCTCAAGGACATTTTCAGGTGGGTAGTTACCGTTATAGGAGCCTTATAGAAGGTCTATATACCTTATGGAAGCCTTATACAAGCCCTATATATCCTAAACTCCCCACCTGTAGTTTCCTTTTATCTTCCTAAACTCGTGAAACCCCCAAAATACACTTCCTAAGCCTTAGACTTTAGACTTTCGGCTCACAAGATCAAGATCCAAAGTGGCCCAACCCCCTTCACCACAAACCCCAAACCCTACCTAAACCCTAAACCCTAAACCCTCACCACCCCAAGGCTCCAGCGTCGGAAGATCATTGCCAAAGTCACGCCGGGTAACCGGGGAAGCCTAGAGCTCCACCTCAATCGGCACCACCGCTGGATTTTCGGGTTTAGGGTTTATAGGGCTTAGGGGTTTGGAGTTTGAGGTGTTTTCCTTCTTTGTGTGTGGTTGAGTGTATAGGTTCCCAGTAGTACACTTTTTGCCCTTTTGCTTTTCGGGTTCCCTTACTAACACCAAATAAAAGGAATCAAGGACCCTAAACCCTAAACCCTAAACCCTCCACCTACCCCGTGTGCATCCGAGGGAAGACTTGCGACCGCCGCGTCCGCCAGATGTGCGAGAAAAAGTCCGTCAATGCGCAAAGGATCTGGAAACATAGCTGTTCCTCTAAGGAGTGCTATGGGGGCTCTGTGTGGGTTCTGAAAAGGGTCCCTGTAGGGGTTCTTTTTTGGCTGGCAAGAAGATGTTTAGAAGCAAGCTTGCATGGCCTAAAAAGCGCTGCCTCCCCCCGTTGAAAGTAGAATGCCTATACGATGGATTTTGAATTGTTCTATCAAGGCTATGTGTTTGACGTAATTCCTTTTGTTTCCTTTAGGCTTGCAGAAAGACACGCGGCAGGTAGGCCAGAAGACGAGGCGTAACAGCTGTAAACGGGCTTACCCCATTGCAAGTCTGAGCTTGACCTAGGCCTTCGAATATCATCTAGTTAAGGAATATGGCTAAAATCATATGAGGGATCCTGCTATAACGTAAAGTATAATCATCCAGAATATGCCCAAAAATCATATGAGGGATCCCGCTATAACGTAAAGTATAATCATCCTTAATTCATTAACGGATATCGGAAAGATCTGGGTACTAAGCCCGGTGCGTCTCCAGAGGCCACAAACCCACCTTCAAGGCCTGAGCTAAACGGCAGCTCCGCTCTTCAAGCTCGCTAACTCCTAAACCCTAAACCCTAAACCACGGTTTAGGGTTTAGGGTTTAGGGTTTAGGCCAGAACGCCTAAACCCTCAACCCCAAAATCCTAAATTAAGCCCTAAGCCATGAGATCTAAAACCCTGAAATCCCAAACCCTATAACCCCTAAGCCCTAACTGAACCCCGCATAGCAAACCCTCAGCCTTCAACCCGAAAATCCTAAACCCTGAATCATGAAATTTAGTCCCTAAACCCCAAAATCCTAAAATCCGAAACTCCGAACGTAAATTTTAAACCCTGGACATCCTAAAGCTTAAACCCCAAAACCCTAACTGAACCCAATCGAGTTGAGGCTGGGAAGAGGCCTCCAAGGACGGCAAAGACGCCATGAGCGCTGAGGCCTTTCGGCGGCAATTTGAAAAGTCTCTTTGGGGTTTAGGGCCGGTTTAGGGTGTTTGGGTTTGGGGTTTAGGGTAGTGTTTTGGGGTTGGCGCTTGATGAGTTGCGGGTTCTGGGTTAGGGCTTCAGGGTGTAAAGTCTGTGCATGCATCCATTGCAGACTGTCCCGTTCAGAGTCGTCGAGGGCTTAGGTTACGGTTGTAAGGTTCAGGTATACCCTAAACCCTAAACCCTAAACCCTAAAACCCTAAACCCTAAACCATTCAGGAAGGTTTCTGATCTGTAGTTTCACATGGTGCCCTGGCTCCCGGAGCCCCGTGAAGGGCAATCCTGCACCCTGGAGTCGAGACCACATATGACCATAGGACCCAAAACATCCTAAAAACCCTGGAAAACCCGGAGCCATTAGGGTTTAGGGTTTGGGGCAATGATAAAGGGGTTAGCAAGACATATGTCCGGGTGAAGAATGCACAAAGAAAGAAGGAACCCCCCGAAACCCCAAAGCCCACAACCTTGAACCCTAGAAGAAGGCTCGAGGGTTTTAGTCGGGTAGACTGCATCTTGGGTCGCAGGTCCAAAAAGCATGAACCGAAACCGAACAGGGACCGACTGCCACCTACCTTTGGGTTTAATGGGCCCGTAGTTCCAGAGACCATTAATTGGCAGATCCTTATATCATAATTAGCGGCGCCAACTTATCAAAAAAATGTATGCTTGGATCTTGCTAAAGTTTGTGAAAAAGTTGTCAACATATGTACCAATCAAAGGGCGGTGTGGGGAGACCCAGGATCTGGGCGCTAGTTAGGGCAGCTGCTTGGAAGAAGGCCACAAAGCGGCGTGGTACCCAGACCTTCCAATATCCCTTAGTTCTGGAATATGTATACAGTAAATCTTCTTAGGGATCCTGCTACATTTGAAACTTTATTCCTTAATTCTTATAGTACGCTTCTAGAAGCCCTCATGTGGAGCCCTTTAAGGTCTATTCCCCAAGAAAGGGATAGTGGAAGGTCTGGGTATTTGGCGCCAAGCCCCGGCCTAGCGCCAAAGCCAGACAAGCATCAGGGTTCAGGGTTTATGGTTTAATGGTTCAGGGTTTATGGTTTAATGTCTCAGGATTTAGGGCCTAATATTTCAGGATTTAAGGTTTGATGGTTCAGGGTTTGGAGTTTAAGCTTCAGGGTTTAGGGCTTTACAAAGCTTATCGATGTTTCAAGTTTCGTGCTATGTTTTGCTGACCCACCCCTTGTCCAAGGCCAAAGCCAGGGCGAGTGCCGGGGCCGAAAGCATTTAACGAAAACATAGAGCTTACATGCGGGTGTGCTGCTGGCATTCTTTTTTCTGCAGGGAATCGCTACATTATATAAGGGCGCGACAGGCCAGGGCCAGGGGAAATGCACATCATCATACTTTTTTTTTGCGTATTGTTCACATATGTTCGTGCAGGAATCCACCACCCCGAGCTCATGTTTGTCATGAATAGAGAGCCGCGAGTTGAAAAAAACCATAAACACCCAAACCGTACCTAAACCCTAAACCCTAACCACCCAAACCGTAAGTACCTCATAAGCATCACAGAAGGCATTCTTTGAAGCCGCGCCATCCTCCGGGGCGGGATGTTTCAATTGTAGTCTACAGTATGTCCCCCCCAACTTTAGGGTTAAGGGTTTTTAGGGTTTGGGGTTTTTAGGGTGTAGGGTTTAGGGTTTAGGGTTTTTAGGGTGTAGGGGTCTAGGGTTTAGGGCTTTTAGGGTTTAGGGTTTAGGGTTTCACGTGGTGAGGCATGTTTATGAAGCCCCTGAATTCTAAAGTCGACAGGAGCCCTCAATCACAAGTTGTAGGCGAAACCCCAGATACCTACACAAAAGGTGCAAATGCTTAAGTGGATACAGACTGACTACGCTTCATGTGCCCAAATTCTTGGCAACTGCAGGTGGAGCGTGCCAAGAAGTACTGCCAGGCTGGCGGAACACCGAAAATCCTAAGCCCTAAACCCTAAACCCCAATCCCTAAACCCTAAACAGAAAACCCTAAACTCTAAACCGAAAACCCCAAACTCTAAACCCCAAACCCTAAACCCTAAACCGAAAACCCCAAACCCTAAACCGAAAACCCTAAACCCGAAACCGAGAACCCTAAACCCTAAACCGAAAACCCGAAACCCTAAACGAGGCCTGAGGAGATGCATCCGTAGCTCGATGCCCCACGGGCTTCGGATAAGCTGAGCTTTTTAGGAGCGTCAATCAGGGGTTCCTATGAGGGTTTGTATATGGGTTTGGGGGTTTAGGGTTTAGGGTTTAGTAAGGTATCCGCTTTCGTATGGGTTATGTAGGGCTTAGGGATTTCGGACTTAGCTGCTTAGGGATTTCGGACTCAGCTTCTTGTTAAGTTTATGTAGGGCTCAGTGCTTGGAACCTGCTTGGATCGGAATTTTGTCATGGAAGAGCTTTGGACTGATGCTTTAGGGTGTCGTGTTGCTTGGCCGCACCGTCAGTCTGTAGCCACAGGTTCATGGCTTGTTTCAATCTCGCTTTGGAGTATGTTTTCTTGAGTTCTGCTACAGCTAATCTTGACTAAAGTTCCCTTGCTTGAAGCTCTACATAAAATTGCCGCCCATCTAGGTTAGGCACAGCCACAGATACGTCACTTACACCCCTGAACACAAGTGCCCCCATGAACCTGCAAGCGAACCCTCTACCCCCAACCCTAAACCCCTAAACGCTGCCCTCTACATGTAGGGTTCCGGGAGGGAGGTTACCAGTTTAGGGCGCGAGCTTCAGCAAAAAAACAAAGTCTGAGTTCCTGGGGGCAAGCTGCATAGGAGAATCTACAAACCCAAAGGCCCCTACAGGTTCCTTCAGGGCTTTAGTGGAGTTTTGAAGGGTCCCTAAACCCTAAACCCTAAACCCTCAACCCTAAACCCTAAACCCTTTATGGATACCATAAAGGGCTTAGAGGGACTCTTGAGGGGCTCCTTTATGGAGACCCTACTGGGTTTAGGGTCTAAGGGTCCATGTGCCCAAGTCGTATATACTTTGACCTCAAGGTAGTCCCTATATAGGTACATTAGGGTCAAAGTGTACCCTAAACCCCAAACCCTAAAAACTAAACCCTAAACCCTACACCATAAATGTATACTACTTGCGCACATGTGGACCCTTATGGAATGATAGAGCAGGTGTTGGAATCTGCTGACTTCCGCGGGACCATGAGGCATCTTCTTTCAGATACTATAGGGGCCTTAATAACTACCATGTTGAGGGATTAATTATTGTAATTATAGGTATGTACCCCCAACCCCTACATTAGGCGGAGCGAGAAAGCGTGTTGCCACGAAAAACCGCGTGCCACAAGCCCAAAAGCTGAAATCCACGAAGTCTTTGGTGCTGCTCAGCGATATCATGACCCTAGGCCCTGAACCCTGAACCCTAAACTCTAAACCCTCTAAACCCTAAACTCTAAACCCCCAAACCCCAAACCCTGTAGGTTTATAAACCCTAAGCCCCGAACCCTAAACCCCAAATCCTAAACCCTGAACCTCCATGGACTTCTCCAGGTAATCCGCGCGATCTGCCACACGCAGGTGGGGAAAGTCCGAATCGGACTCCTGGCTAAAGTTCAGAGGTCTTTAGGGTTTAGGGTTTAGGGCTTATTTCTGTAGCGCAGCGATATCCGGTTCAAGGTTTGGTTGAAGGTTGCGGAATTTCTTCAACGGTTCTTTGGGTGTCCGTCGTTTTTGGTGGTTTCGAGATTTGGACACAAGGCCCAATTGGACCCTACGAAACCTACATTTTAGGATCCTCATTCTCATTTTCTTATAATGAGTCTTTCAGAGGGTAAGATACTTGGGACCCTAAACCCTAAACCCCTACACCCCGAACCCTGCAGTAAGGTAAGGCCTAAGATATAGAGTTGCTTTTTGGGGGTTAGTGGTGTCTATGAGTTATGGAATTTATTGTTTATGGTTTACTCCGCTCTTGGAAACTGGCTAGCGGCATAGCGTATTCTGAAGAAGGAACTCCGACTTCAAATTCTTAGAGGACCTCCAAGAACAGCCCACGTTTCACGGTTATAGGGTTTAGGGCTCAGGGTTTAGGGTTCAAGGTTTAGGGTTCATAGGTGCAAGGTTGAGGGGTGATTCGTTTGATCTATACAGACCCTTCGCAAAACCGTAGCGCTATCAACCTGTGCGCAAACTGCCAGACCAGACAGCCTTAATGTGCGTACATAGGGACCGGGATTAGGGGTTAGGGCTTGCTAGGGGTTGAACTCCTGGCTTCACTTGGGGTTTCTCTAATATGGGTCGTGGTATCTTGTGTACTTTAGGACGAACTTCACGAGGTTGCTACATGGGAGTTTCAGAACATGAGGGACCCGGGTTGAGGGCTCCCAAATAGTATTGTAGGGGCCTTAATAATTACCTATACTAGTTTAGGGGTTCCCTATTCTACTTATAGTATAACGGCCCCCAAAACCCTATATTCTGATTATTATAAGGCCCCTGCATTAGGCCGCGTGCGATGCTCCAGCAAGGCCCTGAAGTTGTGGCTGTGATCAGACGCGTGTAGTAGCCACAGATTAGCTGCTAGCCGAAGTGCCAGGACAAGACCTCTGGTAGTAAACCTTATCCCTAAACCCTAAACCCTAAGCCCTAAACCCTAAACCCTAAGCCATAAACCCCTTGTAGTGCCCTTAGAGTAACGAAACAGGGTTTTCCTACCTTGAACCGTAGAAGCTCTAAGCCCTGAACCCTGGACCCCTATAGAACCCTACTATACCTCATGGATTTCTTATAGATCCCGTGACGGAACCCTAAACCCGAAACCCTAAACCCTAAACCTGAAACTCTAAACCCTAAACCCGAAACTCTAAACTAAACCCTAAACCCTAAACCCTAAACCCCAAACCCCAAACCCTAAACCCAATCTACCCTAAACTACGCGCCACTCCTACGACCCCAGGTCAGAAGAAAGCCCACATCAAGGAGATTCAGGCGCCCCTTTTTTCAGGGTTTTGAGGTTTTGGGTTCTAGGGTTTAGGGTTCCGGGCTTAATCCTACAGGGTTAAGGGTTTCAGGGTTTTGAGGTTTTGGGGTTTGGGTTTTTGTTGGATGATGTCGGGCTTAGGTGTTTAGGGTTTAGGGTTTTACGTTTATTAATGTGTTTTCTGTTTTTGGGCGATGGTTTCTTTTAAAGGTAGTCTTCAAGCATGGTCTTGCTTTATCTTGTATGTAAACGGCGTAGAGTGGAGACCCTAAACCCTAAACCCTAAACCCTAAACCCTAAACCCTAAACCCTAAACCCTAAACCTTAAACCAGGCCAGGTGGCAAGGCTGCGAGAGCAGGAGAGGCTGCAGAACGAGGCGCGCCAGCGGCAGGAAGAGCAGATGTCCGCGCGCTGTGCGCGCACAGGTGCTGCGCGCTTAGGGTTTAGGGTTTAGGGTTTAAGGTTCAGGGTTTAGGGTTTAGGGTTGGAGTTCTCCGAGGGCAACCTTCCGTCCCTTTGATGAACCAGAACTTTACGGACTTCGGGAAAACCCTCGCTGTCGTCCAGACGACGCAGGTTGCACCCGGCAAGGTTTTGCAGCTGCTGCAGACCGGCCCTTCGTTGAGCGCGAACCTGCAGGAGCAGAACAACCTGTCGCCAGCTGGAGCAGCAACAGGGGAGATGGTGAGACGTATCCTAGAAGTACAGGGTTCTGTTGCAGGTCTTTCCAAGACGGGTCAATTAATGGTTCTTTACAAGGCCTCGGGCCTCGGGTAAAAAGGGTTTTCCGGGGTTGATTGTTTCAGGGTTGTTGGGGTTTCCATGGGTTTCCCTTTCAGCCATTTCAGGAGCATGACACTCGTAAGGAACCCTGCCCCAAGGTTTTGGAGTTTTGGATTAGGGTTTAGGGTTTTGTATTGTATACTGCCTAGAACTCAATCAGGTTGAATGCTCAGGGTGTTGGCGGAGAAACGTAGTCATCTAGTTAGTTGTGTTTCGGTTCCTGATGTTGAGGGTTGATGCTGGCAACATGGATAAAACCCCCTTCACCCTAAGCCCTAAACTCTTAACCAAAAACCCTTCACCCTAATCCCTAAACTCTTCACCAAAAACCCTTCACCCTAATCCCTAAACTCTTAGCCAAAACCTTCACCCTAATCCCTAAACTCTTAACCTGCAGATGCAGATGCGTCGGGCCACATTTCGCCTCTCCTACCACCCCTTCTCCTCCCAAGTCTCCATGGGAGTTCCGTTTTGGGGTCACCTTATATAGGATCCTATTTATATACATTGGATGAACCAAAAGGGAGCTGCAACGTAGATCCCCAAACCCCAAACCTGAAAGCCCTAGATCCTAAACCTTAAACC